AGTTTTCTTTTTTTGTTGCATCATTTCCTGGTTTTGGTATCAGGGTGATGTTGACTTCATAAAATGTGTTGGGGAGGATTCCTTCCTTCTCCATGTTGTGGAATAATTTCTGCAGCATGAGCACCAGTTCTTTGTAGGTCTCATAAAATTTGGGTGTGAAACCATCTCATCTGGGACTTTTCTTTTTAGGAAGGTTTTTCATTGATGCTTCAATTTCAGTACTTGATGTTGTTCTGTTCAGGAATTATATTCCTTCCTGATTGAGTATAGGGAGGCTGTGTGTTTCTAAGAATTTGTCCATTTCCTCCACATTTTCCAGTTTATGTGCACAGAGGTTTTTATAGTATTCATTGATAACATTTTGTACTTCCATGATATCGATTGTAATTTCTCCTTTTTCATTCCTGATTGAGCTTATTAGGGTTCTTTCTTTTCTGCTTCTTCTTAATCTAGCTAGAGGCATGTGAATTTTGTTTATTTTTTCAAAGAAATAACTTTTTGTTTTATTAATCTTCTGTATAGTTTTTTTGCTATCAATTTTTCTTAGTTCTGCTCTGATCTTTGTTATTTCTTTTCTTCTGCTGGGTATGGGGTTGGTTTGCTCATTGTTTTCTAGTTCTTTGGGATGATTCATTAGATTGTTGATTTGTGATCTTTCTGTCTTTTGGATGAAGGCATTTATGGACATAAATTTTTCTCTCAGGACTGCTTTAGCTTTGTCGCACTGATTTTGATAACATGTGTCTCTTTTCTCATTTAGTTCAAAGACTCTTGATTTCCAGCTTGATTTCCTTCTTAACAAAAGCTACAGTACAAGGCTCTAGTAACTAAACACGATGTTACTGGCATAAGAACAGAGACATAGACCAATGAAACAGAACTGAGAACCTAGATATAAAGCCATCCTCATATAGCCATCTAATAATCTTTGACAAAGCAGACAAAAACATACACTAGTAGAAAGAATTATTATTCAATAAATGGTGCTGGGAAAATTGGATAGCCACATGTAGAAGACTGAAACAGGATCTGCACCTCTCACCTCTCACAAAAATCAACTCAGGGTGGATAACAGACTTAAACCTAAGGCATGAAACTATAAGAATTCTAGAAAAAAAAGTAGGAAAATCTCTTATGGATATTGAGCTAGGCAAAGAATTTATGGGGTCTAAGAAGACCCCAAAGGCAATCACAGAAACAAAAAAAAAATAAATAAAATAAATGTGACCTGATCAAATTAAAAAGCTTCTTAAAAGCCTAAGATACTTTCACAAGAGCAAACAGACAACCTACAGAATGGGTGAAAATATTCACATGTTACACATCTGATAAAGAGTTGATAACTAGAATCTATATAGAACTCAGGAAAATCAGCAAGAAAAAAATAAAAAAATCCCATTAAAAAGAGGGCAAAGGACCTGGACAGAAACTTTTCAAAAGAAGACAGACTAATAGCCAAGAAAGATATGAAAAAATGCTCAACATCTCTAATCATCAGTTAAATGCAAATTAAAACTACAATGTGTTATCACTTACCTCCAGTGAGAACAGCCTTTATGAAAAAGTCCCAAAACAATAAATGTTGGCATGGATTCAGAGAGTTAGGAACACTCCTACACTGCTGGTGGGACTGCAAACTAGTTCAACCTCTGTGGAAAGTAATACGGAGATACCTCAAAGAGCTACAAGTAAAACTACCATTTGATCCAGCAATCCCATTACTGGGCATTTACTCAAAGAAAATAAAACATTCTATAAAAAAGATACCTGCTTTAAAATGTTTATAGCAGCACAATTCAGAATTGCAAAGATGTGGAAACAACCCAAGTGCCCATCAATACATGAGTGGATAAATTAAATGTTGTATATGTATACCATGGAGTTCTACTTAGCCACAAAAAACAATGATGATCTAGCACCTCTTGTATTATCCTGGATAGAGCTGGAGCCCATTCTACTAAGTGAAGTATCCCAAGAATGGAAAAACAAGCACCACATGTACTCATCATCAAACTGGTATTAACTGATCAACACTGAAGTGCACCCAGTAACATTCACTGGGTGTCAGGCATGTGGGAGGGAGGGGGAGGGGATGGGTATATACACACCAAATGGGTGCAGTATGCACCACCTGGGGGATGGACATGCTTGAAGCTCTGACTCGGGTAGGGCAAAGGCCATATATGTAAATTAAACATTTGTACTCCCGTAATATGGTGAAATAAAAAAAATTTATAAAAGACATTTCTATAAATCGAAGAAAGCATTTATACTGGGAAGGGAGGTAGAGCCACCTTCACAAGCAATCATAGTAGGTAAGTATTTATGCATTTCTGATTTTGTTTACCTATGCTTTCATTCATTCCTTTATTCATTCATTCAAGAAACATTTACTGAGCATTTTTTCCCCGCCAAGGAGTATAATAAGTATTAGGAAACAACACCAGATATATTAAAAGTTACTTCTACTTGAAATCACTGCCAATGGCCAGCCCGTAAGATGGATAGCACCCATGTATCCCGAGAGGTTTTCTTAGCTGAAGTGCCCTTTAGCACTCTCAACTGTTGTGCCCAGAAAAGTAGAAGTTATGAGAGAAAGAATTTCTAGCTCTTTGTCCCAATTTTCTCTTTTTAAAAAATGTATTATAATATGCTAAAAATTATTGGATAAATATCTCTATTATACTATAAAGGGATTGTTTTTCCAAGAAAATCAATCAAATGCTTTTATAACTTGTTACTAATAACACTAATATAGAATAATGGGTAAACTAGTTTGGGTAACTTCCCAATATAATTGGGTTTTCCAGGAACATTACAGAAGACAAACAGCAAGATCAATAAGTCCTGAGGTTGCATGAGTCATTATTGATTTATGACCTTGCTTACTTCCCAGCAAAATAATTGCTATGGAGAAGTTGGCTCATGTTTACAAATCATAATAATCTTATGAGAAAATGTTTCTTAGCCCAAAGTTTAAACACTGGAAAGAGCAAATGATTAAAAAATACCTTATTATTGTGTTAAAATTCATACTTAGTAATACTTGTCATTCATTGCGAACTTGCTTCACAGCATGTTTTGACTATAAAATTTCTTTAAATTATTAAAACAATCCTTCAAGAACTATTGTTACCCTTATTTCATAGGTTAGGAAAATTGAAGTTCACAGATGTTAGGTAACTTGTCCAAGGTGACACATACTCAGAAAGTTGCAGGTCTAGGACTCAAACTCAGTGATCTTTTCCCGTGCTTTATGCATCTAAGAGCACAAGACTGGAAAGAACACATGGGCTTGACCTAGAGAGAACTTAATGGACTTTAAGAAACTTAATGTGCTTGGCAAATTCAATCGATTGATTGAATTTGCATATTTATGACATCATTGCAGTTTTTACATGACAGTGGAATTCCTATCACCATTTCCAGAATACAGACATTCCTGTGAATGTCTACAAGGAGTCCCCCAACTTTCTAGTCCACGGTAGGCAGAATGGTGAATGGGCAAAAATGAGAACTTGAAGCAGCAGAACTGACTCAGAATCTGAAGACAAACAATGATCAAGCAGTCAAAGACATATGAAAGCAGTATGCATGGCTTAGCCAGAGAGTACTGATTTTAATATTGATTTAATATTGAATATTGATTAAAATCCCTTTCTGCCTAAGGATTTCATCTTAAAAATTTATTCCTTTTTAGTTATGTACAACTTGTCATGGTTACCCTTTCTTTAGGGCTAATGGAATTCTGATTACTTCTCCCAATAATAGATAAGCCCTCTGGAAATCCTATAAATTCACAGCTGCAATTCTTGCAGCAGTCTGTATCTTAATGAGATAAGTAAGGAATTTGTATAATTGACCTTTTTTCACTGGTATGCACCTGAAGTGCTAAGAAATTAGATAGCTTTCTGAAAGGCAAGAGTGGACATAGAGTGAAGTCTTTATCTTTCTCTCCATTCAATAATGGGAGCCTTCGCACTGCCTACAGATGTTTTGTGGCCATTGTGATAGGAATGATATGAAAGTCTAGAAGATGAGAAACCTCACATAGTACCAATTCTTTTATTATTCATCACTGATGATTGATTGAGTATAGGAGACTAAAACTCCTCTATATTGTCCACAGTTCAGTGGAGCTCAAGACTGGAAAGTGCAAAGACTTAGAGATGGGTTAATTTCTTAGCTTCTATATTCTCCATTCCTAGGAAATCTTGCTTCCCCTTTCTCTCATTTTTCAGTAATAAGAAGAGACCAGAGATGCAAGGGCCATAGATAGGACTTCTGGGATTACTACTGCTTTGTACCAAGATATGGATGGGATGGTAGATGAATTATTCTATGACTTTTCACATATTTGTTTTACTTAAAGACAGAATGTTAAATTGTCTGTCCTCCATTAGACTTTAAGATCACTGAAGACAGAGACTGCATCTGTTTTGCTCAACATTTTATCCCTATTATCTCAAATAGTGCCTGACCTATAATAAACAACCAGCAAATACCTACTGAATGAATGAATACAAGAAAAAGTTATCATAGCTATTATCTAATACAAGCATTCCCCCCACTCCCTAGCTCATGCCAGGCTGAGTGGTAACTAAGGAAAAAAAGAGAACTTGAAATTCCAGATTCTACCTTCATTCTATGGCAGAAGCAGCATAACTGACTCAACCCTGGATCCATTTCCTGTTATCTCCATGGAAGGAGGGTGAGGCACTATGAAGTTTATTTCAATTACCCAAAGTTGTATTTTTTTTATATTTATTTATTTATTTTTGTTTCGGCATATTATGGGGGTACCAAAGTTGTATTTATCATGAACAAATAAAACTTACACAGTTCCTTTCCAATGCCATAGAAGAGGTGAAAATAATGTATTCACATAAGGTATTTTTGAAGAAATGCAAAATAAGATAATTTAACCATAATCTGTTAAGACCACTGACTCCTTTTATGACAATTTTTTCTGTCACAAATTTTCTTTTTATTCATGTCAGGTAAAAATGGAGTGACCAGAAGTGTTTTTGGAGGATTCTGTTGGAGGGAACATGAGCCAGGCTTAATTTTACTTTGGACTTAGTAAGGTATATTTATGTGGGAGACAGTCACTATGTAGAGTTAAGATATTATTAGCCAATCAAGGGTAAGAATGTCTTCCAGGGATACTCCTGCCACCCACTGTGCCAATGATCCCAGAACCATTATGCCAGTGCAGGGCTATGGTTGTAATGGAATAAGAACACAAACTATAGCACCCAGCATGGGAAGTATGAAGGTAGAGGAAAAGAAATCCACTAAGGGAAAGACTGAATTACCTTCAATTCTTTTAATAAAAAAACGACATTACACAAAGGTTGCATATGAAGAGGAAATAAAAGAGTGTACAGCCAAAATATAAGGGGAAAATATAAGTATTATAGAAGTATGTAAGATAGTTCACATATAGTAATATTGTGTTGTCTTTCAGGATGCTCTAATGTTTGTGATGTCAACTTTTAAAAATTTATTTGATGCGATTTCTCAAAACATTTTTCTTTCATATCTAATTTTAGAGGCAGAATCTCACTCTGTCATCCAGGCTAGAGTGGAGTGGGCATGATCATAACTCGCTGTAGCCTCAAACTCTGGGGCTCAAGTGATCCTCCCACCTCTGCCTCCTAAGTACCTGGGATTATAGGGCACATCTCCAAGTCTGGCTAACTTTTTTAAATTATTTTTTGTATAGATGGGGGTCTTACTCTATTGCCCAGGGTGGTCTCAAATTCCTGGTCTCAAGCAATCTTCCTGCCTCAGCTTCCCAAAGTGCTGGGATTACAGGCATGAGCCACCATGCCCAGATCATATTCTTTTTCTTAAAGAGGTCCTTCAAATTGTGCAATCTTCAGGTCCCACAAAACCTAGATCTGTTTCCGGCTAATAGTCCTTATGCCAAGGTAATGCACCCATGTCAGGATTTACTCTGCAACACTAGAAATGCAGCAGTCTACTTCAAGTACTTTCAATATTCTTATCAGTTTCTTTGATTCCCAGCTATATCTGTCTCTCTTGCCCTCACCTGGTCACTACCCAGGATTCCCTCTCTATCCAAAGATACTTAGAATGATTTTATTAACATTATTAATATTATAATTAATGAGTATTATTTTTTATTATCTCATATTATGGGGGTACAAATATTGTTAGGGTTACATATCTTGCCCCTGCCCCCCGTCCCCCACCCCGCTATGCCAGAGCTTCAAGCGTGTCCAGCCTCCAGGTGGTGCGCACCACACCCACCACGTAAGTACATACCCTTCCCCTCCTCCCCCCTTCCACCTGCCCACCTCCCAATAACAGATTTTTTTTTAGACATTTTGGTTACAATGTATATCTTTGCCTCTCCCTAAAAAGGGATAGAGGTAATCCCTTCCCCCCCCCACAATGCTCCCCACTTTCTTAAGATGTGGTCTCCCCCCCAAATCCCTGTTGAACACTACCATTTTTTGAGCACCATAGTTTTAGTCAGTCAGTACCAATTTGATGGCGAGTAGACATGTAGCCCATTTTCCAGGTATTGTGTCATCTCGCTTTTTATTACGGGCTTGAGCTTAATCCAGGATAGCATAAACAGTGCTAGCTCACTGTCGTTTCTTAGGATTGAGTAATATTCCATTGTGAGCATATACCACATTTTAGTTATCCACTCATGAATTGACGGGCAGTTGGGTTGTTTCCATGACCGTGCAATAGTGAATTGTGCTGCAATAAACATTCGGGTGCAGATGTCTTTATAACAGAGAGATGTATGTTCTTTTGGGTAGATGCCCAACAATGCTTTTGCTGGGTCGAATGGTATTTCTATTTCTAGCTGTTTGAGGTATCTCCAAATTCTTTTCCACAGAAGTTGAACTAATTTGCAGTCCCACCAGCAGTGTAAGAGTATTCCTGTCTCTCCACATCCTCGCCAGCATTTGTTGTTTTGGGATTTCTTGATACAGGCCATTCTCACTGAGGTTAGGCGATATCTCATTGTGGTTTTGATTTGCATTTCTCTAACGATTAGAGATGAGTATTATTACTAATGATATTAATTATGGGAATTTAATATGAGGGTCAATAGGAATCAAATGGATTATAGTCCACCTATATTTTATAATGTATAAACTTTGGCAAACTTAAATGATACCTATTTCTATGGTTAAAGGATGAGTATATGGCTGGGCATGGTGGCTCACACCTGTAATCCCACCATTTTGGGAGGCTGAGGCAGGAGGATCACTTGAGACCAGGAATTTGAGACCAGCCTGGGCAATGTAGCAAGACCATGTCTCTACAAAAAATTAAAGAGAAAAAAATTAGCCGGGTATGGTGGCATGTGCCTATTGTCCCAGCTACTTTGGGGGCTGGGGAGAGCATTGCTTGAGCCCAAAATTTCAAGGTTGTGGTGAGCTATGATCAGGCCACTACACTCTAGTCTAGGCAACAGAGTGAGACCTTGTCTCCAATTAATAAATTAATTCATTAATTAATAAAGGATGAGTATATATATATATATATTTATATACACACACACACACATACACACCATAAAATATTTATGTATTTGGGAAATATAAAGGCCTAGTATTTCAGGTATACTGTGAATTGACAGGAAGAAAAAAATACACACAGACAGACAAACATACAATTAGGATAAAAGTTCTTAATCATTTTACCAAGGATCCAGAATGAGGTGACCACAGAAAACATGACCAGATGTAATATATCTTTATGTGGCTTTCCCCTTGTGCCAGACTTTCCTACAGGATATGAAGCTAGCTGTTTCATTCTCCATACAGGTAGAGTCCCTCCAGAATTGAGAAATAAGCCAGATCTTGCTATACTACTTCCCTCTGAATTTATGTGCTTACCTTATCATTCCAGGATAAGTGACATCAGTAAATTCATTTAAGGAATTGTTTACAAACACAGTGTTTTCATGGTGAACCAGGTATTTTCCATTGCCCCTCTCTGATCCACATTGGCCTTCCCCACCCTGCTCTGCATCCCAGGAAATTGCCTTTTAATTAATTTATTTATTTTTTAAAATATTTATTTATTTATTTATTTTAGCATATTATGGGGGTATAAGTGTTAAGGTTAAGTATATTGCCCATGTCCCCCCTCCCCCTTTGAGTCAGAGCCTCAAGTGTGACCATCCCCCAAACGTTGCACATCTCACTCATTGTGTTTGTATATACCCTTCCCCTCCTCCCCCCTCCCACCTGCATGACACACAATAAATGTTATTCCTATATGTCCACTTAGGTGGTGATCTGTTAATACCAATTTGCTGGTGAGTATATGTGGTACTTGTTTTTCCATTCTTGAGATACTTCACTTCATAGAATGGGTTTCAGCTCTATCCAGGAAAATACAAGAGGTGCTATATCATCATTGTTTTCTTTTATTTTTTTTTTATTTATTTATTATTTTTTTTTAATTTTGGCATATTATGGGGGTACAGATTTTAAGGTTTCAATAAATGCCCATTTCCCCCCTCCCCCCAAAAGTCTGAGTCTCCATCATGACCATCCCCCAGATGGTGCACATCTCACTCATTATGTATGTATATACTCGCCCCCCTCCCCCCTCCCACCTGCCCAATACCCTATTACTGTAGTACCTATGTGTCCACTTAGGTGCTACTCAGTTAATATCAGTTTGCTGGAGAATATATCTGGTGCTTGTTTTTCCATTCTTGGGATACTTCACTTAGTAGTATGGGTTCCAGCTCTAACCAGGAAAATATAAGATGTGCTATATCACCATTGTTTCTTAGAGCTGAATAGTACTCCATGGTATACATATACCACATTTTATTAAACCACTCATGAATTGATGGGCACTTGGATTGTTTCCACAGCTTTGCAATTATGAATTGTGCTGCTATGAACATTCGAGTGCAGGTGTCTTTTTCATAAAGTGACTTTTGATGTTTTGGGTAGATGCCCAGTAGTGGAATTGAAGGAAATGGTAGATCTATTGTATCATTTTAAGGTATCTCCATATTGCTTTCCACAGAGGTTGAACTAGTTTGCAGTCCCACCAGCAGTGTAGGAGTGTTCCTATCTCTCCGCATCCAAGACAACATTTATTTTTTGGAGACTCTTTGATAAAGGCCATTCTCACTGGAGTTAAGAGATATCTCATTGTGGTTTTGATGTGCATTTCCCTGATGATTAGAGATGTTGAGCATTTTTTCATATGTTTATTGGCCATTATTCTGTCTTCTTTTGAGAAGTTTCTGTTCATGTCCTTTGCCCATTTTTTGATAGGGTTGTTTGATTTTTTTCTTGCTGATTTTCCTGAGTTCTAAATAGATTCTAGTTATCAGCCCTTTATCAGATGTGTAGCTTGCAAAAATTTTCTCCCATTCTGTGGGTTGTCTACTTGCTCTCTTGACAGTTTCTTTGGCTGTGAAGAAGCTTTTTAATTTGATCAGGTCCCATTTATTTATTTCTGTTGCTGCTGTGATTGCCTTTGGGGTCTTCTTCATCAATTCTTTGCCTAGGCTAATGTCTAAAAGAGTATTTCTGATGTTTTCCTTTAGAATTCTAAAGTTTCACACCTAAAATTTAAGTCTGTTACCCAGTGTGAGTTGATTTTTGTGAGAGGTGAAAGGTGTGGGTCTTGTTTCAGTCTTCTACGTGTGGCTATCCAATTTTCCAAGCACCATTTATTGGATAAGGATTCTTTTCCCCAGTGTATGTTTTTGACTGCTTTGTCCAAGATTAGTTGGCTATATGAGGATGGTTTTATATCTGGGTTCCCTGTTCCACTGGTCAATGTCCCTGTTCTTGTGCCAGTCCCAAGCTATTTTAATTACTATAGCCTTGTAGTATATTTTGAAGTCTGGCAAATTGATACCTCCTATTTTGTTTCTATTGCTGAGGATTGATTTTGCTATATGTGATCTTCTCTGATTCCATACAAAGCATAAAAGTATTTTTCTATATCTATTAAAACTGATGGTGGCATTTTGATAGGGATTGCATTGACTATGTAGGTCACTTTGGGTAGTATAGACATTTTAACAATGTTGATTCTCCCAAC